TCAAGCGGATTAAGGCGTTCCTGTACATACCAGTTGTGGGAGTATGGGTTCGAGTCACTTCTGGGGTGTGAGTTTTCAGTTGTATATAGTCCTGGGGACCATTCAGGCTTGTTTGCATTTGTGTTCCTCACGTGTGCCCCAAAGAATGAGGTGATTTGATAAAATGCTATGCCCAAGATTACCATCCGAGTGCCGGCGGGGAAGTGGTTCATATAGCCTCGGCTATCACTTCCTTATGTCCGGTCGTGATGGTCAAGCGGATTAAGGCGTCCCTGTACATACCAGTTGTGGGAGTATGGGTTCGAGTCACTTCTGGGGTGTGAGTTTTCAGTTGTATATAGTCCTGGGGACCATTCAGGCTTGTTTGCATTTGTGTTCCTCACGTGTGCCCCAAAGAATGAGGTGATTTGATAAAATGCTATGCCCAAGATTACCATCCGAGTGCCGGCGGGGAAGTGGTTCATATAGCCTCGGCTATCACTTCCTTATGTCCGGTCGTGATGGTCAAGCGGATTAAGGCGTCCCTGTACATACCAGTTGTGGGAGTATGGGTTCGAGTCACTTCTGGGGTGTGAGTTTTCAGTTGTATATAGTCCTGGGGACCATTCAGGCTTGTTTGCATTTGTGTTCCTCACGTGTGCCCCAAAGAATGAGGTGATTTGATAAAATGCTATGCCCAAGATTACCATCCGAGTGCCGGCGGGGAAGTGGTTCATATAGCCTCGGCTATCACTTCCTTATGTCCGGTCGTGATGGTCAAGCGGATTAAGGCGTCCCTGTACATACCAGTTGTGGGAGTATGGGTTCGAGTCACTTCTGGGGTGTGAGTTTTCAGTTATATATATATATATATATATATATGTCGTACCTAGTAGCCAGAACGCACTTCTCAGCCTACAATTCAGGGCCCGATTTGCCTAATAAGCCAAGTTTTCCTGAATTATTTTATTTTCTCAAATTTTTTTCTTATGAAATGATAAAGCTACCCATTTCATTATGTATGAGGTCAATTTTTTTTTTATTGGAGTTAAAATTAACGTAGATATATGACCGAACCTAACCAACCCTACCTAACCTAACCTAACCTATCTTTATGGGTTAGGTTAGGTTAGGTAGCCGAAAAACAATTAATTCATGAAAACTTGGCTTATTAGGCAAATCGGGCCTTGCATAGTAGGCTGAGAAGTGCGTTCTGGCTACTAGGTACGACATATATATATATATATATATATATATATATATATATATATATATATATATATATATATATATATATGTCGTACCTAGTAGCCAGAACGCACTTCTCAGCCTACTATGCAAGGCCCGATTTGCCTAATAAGCCAAGTTTTCATGAATTAATTGTTTTTCGATTACCTAACCTACCTAACCTAACCTAACCTAACTTTTTCGGCTACCTAACCAAACCTAACCTATAAAGATTGGTTAGGTTAGGTTAGGTAGGGTTGGTTAGGTTCGGTCATATATCTACGTTAATTTTAACTCCAATAAAAAAAAATTGACCTCATACATAATGAAATGGGTAGCTTTATCATTTCATAAGAAAAAAAATAGAGAAAATATATTAATTCAGGAAAACTTGGCTTATTAGGCAAATCGGGCCTTGAATAGTAGGCCAAAAAGTGAGTTCTGGCTACTAGGTACGACATATATATATATATATATATATATATATATATATATATATATATATATATATATATATATATATATATATATATATATATATATTTGTTCCCATAGCGTCTGAGACGCATGGCCCCTGGGGCAAGAGTGCCTTGGGATTTCTCAAGGAATTGGGTTCCAAGCTCATTGACGTCACCAGAGACCCAAGGGCTTCCAGTTTTTTGTTTCAGCGTCTCAGTGTGGCGATCCAGAGGGGAAATGCTTGCTGCGTCCTCGGTTCCTGTCCAGAAGCGGAGGAGCTTCAAGAGATCCATAACCTTTAGGCATTTGTCTTGTATGTTTTGTAACCTTTAAATACACAATAAAGCTAAAAAAAAAAAAAAAAAAAAAAGGAAGGGGGTGGTAGGAGAAAAGCACACAGAAACTGTATTGGAGGGGACCTACCTTCCCTCCAATGCGTTATGTGTGGTTTCCTCCGAGGCTATGGGTCCCCCTTCTTCCAGCCAGAGGTGGTACTCCCTTCCTTTTTTTATAAAAAATATATATATATATATATATATATATATATATATATATATATATATATATATATATATATATATATATATATATATATATATATATATATATATATATATATATATATATATGTCGTACCTAGTAGCCAGAACGCACTTCTCGGCCTACTATGCAAGGCCCGATTTGCCTAATAAGCCAAGTTTTCCTGAATTAATATATTTTCTCTAATTTTTTTCTTATGAAATGATAAAGCTACCCATTTCATTATGTATGAGGTCAATTTTTTTTTATTGGAGTTAAAATTAACGTAGATATATGACCGAACCTAACCAACCCTACCTAACCTAACCTAACCTATCTCTATACGTTAGGTTAGATTAGGTAGCCGAAAAAGTTAGGTTAGGTTAGGTTAGGTAGGTTAGGTTGTCGAAAAACCATTAATTCATAAAAACTTGGCTTATTAGGCAAATCGGGCCTTACATAGTAGGCAGAGAAGTGCGTTCTGGCTACTAGGTACGACATATATATATATATATATATATATATATATATATATATATATATATATATATATATATATGTCGTATCTAGTAGCCAGAACGCACTTGTCAGCCTACTATGCTAGGCCCGATTTGCCTAATAAGCCAAGTTTTCCTGAATTAATATATTTTCTCTAATTTTTTTCTTATGAAATGATAAAGCTACCCATTTCATTATGTATGAGGTCAATTTTTTTTATTGGAGTTAAAATTAACGTAGATATATGACCGAACCTAACCAACCCTACCTAACCTAACCTAACCTATCTTTACAGGTTAGGTTCGGTTAGGTAGCCGAAAAAGTTAGGTTAGGTTAGGTTAGGTAGGTTAGGTAGTCGAAAAAACATTAATTCATTAAAACTTGGCTTATTAGGCAAATCGGGCCTTGCATAGTAGGCTGAGAAGTGCGTTCTGGCTACTAGGTACGACATATATATATATATATATATATATATATATATATATATATATATATATATATATATATATATATATATATATATATATATATATATATATATATATATATATATATATATATATATATATATATATATATATATAAACAGAGTTTGCGTAGAAGTTACAAGTGGTGAGACTCGGGACTCTGTCCTTGGACCTGTGTTATAAACAATTTTTATAATAAAAGACTTAAACACAAGATTAAAAAAAATAATAGTGACATATTTGCAACCAATACAAGAAAAGAGACAGGAAATAAACTCAGAATAAAATTGTTGCAAGATGATTAAAATGATCTTTTAAAATGAACGTAAGATTGATAGATACCGTTTAAATGGTTAAAAGTGTTGGAGTGTGAGCTCAGGTAGTAAGAGAACCGATCCCGGGTATCTTGAGGTTATCTTGAGATGATTTCGGGGCTTTTTAGTGTCCCCGCGGCCCGGTCCTTGACCAGGCCTCCACCCCCAGGAAGCAGCCCGTGACAGCTGACTAGCATCCAGGTACCTATTTTACTGCTAGGTAACAGGGGCATAGGGTGAAAGAAACTCTGCCCAATGTTTCAGCTGATCAGCTGATCAATGTTGAAAAAGCGTAAAGTGACTCTAGAAGCATCTAAGTCATAATTACCGGGAACTTAAGCAAACATTCAATGAGTAAATGGTCAATAATAAGACAAATGGCAGACCGATTGATCTGCCATTTGGCAATTCTAAGGCAGGGTCATTGGATCCTGTCTTTGCATTGGCTCGGGGTCTTGAGGTGGGTTGGATGTAATTATGTGTTAACTGGTTGTTGATTGGTGGTCTTGGCTTTTTGATGTGTAGCACCTCGCTAATGTCCAGTCTTCTGATGTCGTTATACCTGTCGATTATTTCAGTGCTGCTTGTTAAGAAGTCTCTGGTGATGGTCTGATTATGTGAGGAGATTATATGCTCCTTTCCTTGATGGAGCCCTGTAGCCCGTGCATTGTCAATGTAGGATGTAATTCAACGTTTCGCCTAGAGAGAGAGAGACGTTGTTGTCTTGGTTGAAAATGAACTTCGGAGAGTTACTTTTTCAACTTCCCCCGAAAGTGAAGCAAAGCATAAAAAAAATATTGAAAAAGATTCGTGTATAAAATATATATATATATATATATATATATATATATATATATATATATATATATATATATATATATATATATATATATATATATATATATATATATATATACATACATATATATATATATATATATATATATATATATATATATATATATATATATATATATACTGTATATATATATATATATATATATATATATATATATATATATATATATATATATATTATATATATATAATAGATAGAGTACCACCTCTGGCTAGAAGAAGGGGACCCTTAGCCTCGGAGGAAACCACACATAACGCATTAGAGGGAATGTTTAGGTCCCCTCCAATACAGTTTCTGTGTGCTTTTCTCCTACCACCCCTTTCCTTTTGTGTGTTTTTTTTGTGCTTTATTATGTGTTTGAAGATTACAAGATATACATCGGTTGATACAAAAAGTGCTCTGAGGTTATGGATGTATATAAAACTGGGAAACAGATTGGAAAACTGCCACACCAGTTATCTGAACTGTTTTTATGCGAACAAACACCCAATCGTATAACAAGCATTTTCAGATAACAGGCGTTCGTAAAGCACGTGACTGTACAGGAAAATTACAATCACAAGTTATTCCAACGAACAACGTAAATCAATATGTCATTTAACGGAAACAAATAACATTTCGTCACAAAAACAAAAAAAAACAGATAGCCTTTCACAAAGTACATGATACAAGACATAGTCAGATCCTTCCAGTGAGAAGATCTGACCAAGTCATAGACCTAGGAATAATTATATCAGTAGGCCTATCGTTTAGAGAACACAACAAAGCCATCATAACAAAAGCCAGGTAAATGATCGTGTGGATTATATGAACCTCAAAACAAGGAATAACACGTAGATCGTACTCTTTAGAGTACTGGTACTCTTTAGAGCACTGGTACTCTTTAGAGTACTGGTACTCTTTAGAGCACTGGTACTCTTTAGAGCACTGGTACTCTCCAGAGCACTGGTACTCTTCAGAGCACAAGTACTCTTTAGAGCACTGGTACTCTTTAGAGCACTGGTACTCTTTAGAGCACAGGTACTCTTTAGAGCACTGGTACTCTTTAGAGCACTGGTACTCTTTAGAGCACAGGTACTCTTCAGAGCACTGGTACTCTTCAGAGCACTGGTACTCTTTAGAGCACTGGTACTCTCCAGAGCACTGGTACTCTTCAGAGCACAGGTACTCTTCAGAGCACTGGTACTCTTTAGAGCACTGGTACTCTTTAGAGCACTGGTACTCTTTAGAGCACAGGTACTCTTTAGAGCACTGGTACTCTTTAGAGCACTGGTACTCTTTAGAGCACTGGTACTCTTTAGAGCACTGGTACTCTTTAGAGCACAGGTACTGTTTAGAGTACTGGTACTCTCCAGAGCACTGGTACTCTCCAGAGCACAGGTACTTTTCAGAGCACTGGTACTCTTTAGAGTACTGGTACCCTTTAGAGTATTGGTACTCTTCAGAGCACTGGTACTCTTTAGAGCACTGGTACTCTTCAGAACACTGGTACTCTCCAGAGCACTGGTACTCTTTAGAGTACTGGTACTCTTCAGAGCACTGGTACTCTTTAGAGCACTGGTACTCTCCAGAGCACAGGTACTCTTTAGAGCACTGGTACTCTCCAGAGCACTGGTACTCTTTAGAGTACTGGTACCCAATAGAGTACTGGTACTCTTCAGAGCACTGGTACTCTTTAGAGCACAGGTACTCTTTAGAGCACTGGTACTCTCCAGAGCACTGGTACTCTTCAGAGTACTGGTACCCTTTAGAGTACTGGTACTCTTCAGAGCACTGGTACTCTTTAGAGCACTGGTACTTTTCAGAGCACTGGTACTCTTTAGAGTACTGGTACTCTTCAGAGCACTGGTACTCTTCAGCGCACTGGTACTCTCCAGAGCACTGGTACTCTTCAGCGCACTGGTACTCTCCAGAGCACTGGTACTCTCCAGAGCACTGGTACTCTTCAGAGCACTGGTACTCTTCAGCGCACTGGTACTCTCCAGAGCACTGGTACTCTCCAGAGCACTGGTACCCTTTAGAGTACTGGTACTCTTCAGAGCACTGGTACTCTTCAGAGCACTGGTACTTTTCAGAGCACTGGTACTCTTTAGAGTACTGGTACTCTTCAGAGCACTGGTACTCTTCAGCGCACTGGTACTCTCCAGAGCACTGGTACTCTTCAGAGCACTGGTACTCTTCAGCGCACTGGTACTCTCCAGAGCACTGGTACTCTCCAGAGCACTGGTACCCTTTAGAGTACTGGTACTCTTCAGAGCACTGGTACTCTTCAGAGCACTGGTACTTTTCAGAGCACTGGTACTCTTTAGAGTACTGGTACTCTTCAGAGCACTGGTACTCTTCAGCGCACTGGTACTCTCCAGAGCACTGGTACTCTTTAGAGTACTGGTACCCTTTAGAGTACTGGTACTCTTCAAAGCACTGGTACTCTTTAGAGCACTGGTACTCTTCAGAGCACTGGTACTCTCCAGAGCACAGGTACTCTTCAGAGCACTGGTACTCTTCAGAGCACTGGTACTTTTCAGAGCACTGGTACTCTTTAGAGTACTGGTACTCTTCAGAGCACTGGTACTCTTCAGCACATTGGTACTCTCCAGAGCACTGGTACTCTTTAGAGTACAGGTACTCTTCAGAGCACTGGTACTCTTCAGAGCACAGGTACTCTCCAGAGCACAGGTACCCTTCAAAGCACTGGTACTATCTTGTACGCAATTTTTGGTTGTCCAGTCCTCACATTCCTTTTGAATGGATATATAGAGCAAAAATTTGCAAAAAAAATTGAAAAAATTACAAAAAATTTGCAAAAATTTGCATTGTAAAATTTGCAGATGTGAGGTGTGAATGGATATCCTTCTCAATGGATATCAGATTCTTCACTGCTTGTATAGAATCAGTGTGAGACTAAGTACTCTTAAACTTGAACTACTGAAACTGACACAGAGCACTCAAACTATGCTCCTTGGAATGAAGACGAGAGAGATATCTTATAACATACACATTAGAAATACTGAAAGGTTACGTTCGGTGGAGTCCCTGTACAATTAAATTAAAACATACTGGAGTGAAATATATGAAAGAAAGTGTAAAATACATTCTTTGAAAAGCTTAAGTGAAATGAACATAATTGGAGAGCACAGAGTAAACATCAGAGGTCAACTACGCTTCAACCTCCTGCCAACAAATGTGAGTAATTCCTTCCGGAACAACGAATGCAAGTTTTCAAGAGGGAACTTAGGCAAGTATCTGCTCTATGGGCCTCGGGGCTATGAAGATAGACAGTCACACAGCTCAAGCCACACCGCCAGGGAAGGCTGGTCACACAGGCCAGGCTGCGGGAGTTGAAGAACTCACTAATCAACAATCATTCTCATCATAGACCAAACCACACACACACCAGGAGATGCACTGATGTGTGTGGCAACTTCCTCACACACACCATATGTGAACACACGACTTGATAATGGTCCAGGACGGACCGAAACGTCGTCGTTTCTTCATCTTCTGCACCACCCAGCGGGTTTTCTTCCTATTGGGGAGTGTTGTACATGCTGCTACGGCGGTGTGTCCACTCACAAGATGAGTGGCGCTGCCCAATAAACTCGCCCCTCGGGGCAAAATTTAAAATATAAATCTTCTGGTGTGTGGTCTGGTCATGTCTTCTGCCACGTTCAATTGTCTATACAGTATACCTAGGTCATAAAAGTATTTGTGTGTACGTCTGATACCATACTACTTGTGTAAAGGAGGAAATCTATATGTTTATCTCTCAGAATGTTCGGTAATATGTTTATTGTTTGTGATGTGTGTCTATGTATATATTAACACGATGTATTGAACGGGGTGAGAATAGCTTGAGCTACCTCATCCCTTTGTGTGTATTTTACCTCAATAAACTTATTTGAATTTCAATTTCAGCCACGTTATTGTGACTCGTCGTCTGCGATCGTTCTCACTCAATAAACCAATGATAAAACTTGAAAAAGTAGAGATATTTGCAACAATGGTGGCAACTGTTGAGATCCGAAGAATGGCTGGAGGAACTAAGCCTTAAGACTCTCATAAAAGAGAAAGAGAAGACATACTAGACCCGTAAAAATTCTTATGTTAACAGATAAGGCGGAAGGTACGGAAAGATTTACAATGAATTACAAATGAATTAGAAACAAAGGACAGAACCTCACAAGAAAGATGAGTCAAGGAGATGGGAAATACCTCTGGAGCAAGACGTAGGGTTTCCTCCCGATGTGTCTCACTAGTGATACCACGTTTTAGTACGTTTATTTCTCATTAATTTTGCAATTTTTTTTTAATATGTTAACAAAATGGTGGTTTACAGAGCTGTCAACAAAATGCTATCGCATTAATACACGAGTATTAACACCTGATATGATAACACCTGATAACGTATTAACATCTGATAACGCCCCAGCCTGACAGCCTGATAGCTGTCAGGCTGGGGCGCCTGACAGCTGGGTGGACAGCGCTTCGGATTCGTAGTCCTGAGGTTCCGGGTTCAATCCCCGGTGGAGGCGGAGACAAATGGGCAAAATGTTTCTTTAACCCCTGATGTTCCTGATCACTTATCAGTAAATAGGTACCCGGGAGTTAGACAGCTGCTACAGGCTGCTTCCTGGGGGGGAGGGTAACAAAAAGAAGGCCTGGTCGAGGACCGGGCCGCGGGGACTCTAAGCTACGAAATCATCTCAAGATGGAGTCTCAATTACGCAGAAGGTACAGTATGTGATCTGTCAGCAGGATGACATCAGAGATCGTATTGTAAGTGTGTGTGTGTACTCACCTACTCACCTAATTGTACTCACCTAATTGTGCTTGCGGGGGCTGAGCTCTGGCTCTTTGGTCCCGCCTCTCAACCGTCAATCAACAGGTGTACAGGTTCCTGAGCCTATTGGGCTCTATCATATCTACACTTGAAACTGTGTATGGAGTCAGCTCCACCACATCACCTCCTAATGCATTCCATTTGTCAACCACTCTGACACTAAAAAAGTTCTTTCTAATATCTCTGTGGCTCATTTGGGCACTCAGTTTCCACCTGTGTCCCCCTAGTGCGTGTGGCCCTTGTGTTAAATAGCCTGTCTTTATCTACCCTATCAATTCCCTTGAGAATCTTGAATGTGGTGACCATGTCCCCCCTAACTCTTCTGTCTTCCAGCGAAGTGAGGTTTAATTCCCTTAGCCTCTCCTCGTAGCTCATACCTGTCAGCTCGGGTACTAGTCTAGTGGCAACCCTTTGAACCTTTTCCAGTTAAGTCTTATTCTTGACTAGATATGGACTCCATGCTGGGGCTGCATACTCCAGGATTGGCCTGACATATGTGGTATACAAAGTTCTGAATAATTCCTTACACAAGTTTCTGAATGCCGTTTGTATGTTGGCCAGCCTGGCATATGCCGCTGATGTTATCCTCTTGATATGGGCTGCAGGGTACAGGTCTGGCGTGATGTCAACCCCAAGTCTTTTTCTCTCTCTAACTCATGAAGAATTTTATCTCCCAGATGATACCTAGTATCTGGCCTCCTGCTCCCTACGCCTATCTTCATTACTTTACATTTGCTTGGGTTAAACTCTAACAACCATTTGTTCGACCATTCCTTCAGCTTGTCTAGGTCTTCTTGAAGCCTCAAGCAGTCCTCCTCTGTCTTAATCCTTCTCATAATTTTGGCATCGTCAGCAAACATTGAGAGAAATGAATCTACACCCTCCGGGAGATCATTTACATATATCAGAAACAAGATAGGACTGAGTATAGAGCCCTGTGGGACTCCACTGGGGACTTCACGCCAATCCGAGGTCTCACCCCTCACCTTAACTCTCTGCTTCCTATTGCTTAGGTACTCCCTTATCCACTAGAGCACCCTACCAGCTACACCTGCCTGTCTCCCCAGCTTAAGTACCAGCCTCTTATGGGGTACTGTGGCTTTCCGACAATCCAAGAAAATGCAGTCCGCCCACCCTTCTCTTTCTTGCTTAATCTTTGCCACCTGGTCGTAGAATTCTATTAAGCTAGTTAGGCAAGATTTACCCTCCCTGATTCCATGTTGTCGATTTGTCACGAAGTCCCTTCTCTCCAGATGTGTTACCAGGTTTTGTTTCACGATCTTCTCTATCACCTTGCATGGTATACAAGTCAAGGACACTGGCCTGTAGTTCAGTGCCTCTTGTCTGTCGCCTTTTTTGTATACGGGGACCACGTTCGCCGTCTTCCATATTTCTGGTAGGTTTTCCGTCTCCTGTGACCTACTATACACTATGGAGAGTGGCAAGCAAAGTGCCTCTGCACACTCTTTCAGTACCCATGGTGAGATCTCGTCTGGACCAACAGCCTTTCCTGTGTGTGTGTGCTGTTACATCCTACCATCCTATCTCTTGCTAATAGCTTGCCGTTACGTCACTACCAGTAAGAGCTTAATTAAGAGCATGGGGACCACTCCCTCGCCCACCTCAGCAAATCTTGCTACTCCCTAAATCAAACTTAAGGCGCCATAACTCAGGCCGCCCACCGCTCTACATCTGACCAATTTGGGGCTGTCAGCTGGAGTTGGTCTGCTCCCTGATCATCTAGACTTTGTTGGATGCACAGTTCTCGATTTCTTACAAGATCTCTGACTGTTTTTATGAGAGTGTAAATTGCTGGGATTTCTGAGTTGCTCACGATTCTCAGATACGGAAATCTTTGAGGTTCATGGTTCTCATATTTTACGATTCTCAAACGACTGTGGTTCTCGTAGTTTATAAAACACATACACACACGCATACAAACTCACACACACACACACACACACACACACACACACACACACACACACACACACACACACACACACACACACACACACACACACACACACACGCATACAAACTCACACACACGCATACAAACTCACACACACACACACACACACACACACACACACACACACACACACACACACACACACACACACACACACACACACACACACACACACACACACACACACACACACACACACACACACACACACACACACACACACACACACACATACACAAACATTCAAACACACACACACATACACAAACATACAAACACACATACATAACGAGTGGAGTACCTCAATGATCTGTGCTGGAACCAATTCTGTTTCTAATATACGTAAATGACATGTCTACCGGAGTTGAGTCCTATATATCGATATTCGTGGATGACGCAAAATTAATAACACGAGTTGTGACCAATGAGGATTGTAGGATCCTTCAAGTGGTCTTGAACAAATTGCAGAGATGATCGAAGAAATGGCTTCTGAAGTTCAACACGAGCAAGTGTAAAGTCATAGAAATGGGATTAGGCGGCAGGAGACCAAAGAGACAGCACACAGTGCAGGGAACTACTTACCTGTGACGACTCGAAAAAGAGACCTGGGAGTGGTCATAACAGCTAATCTAACTCCTGAGGCATACATAAATAGGATAACGACAGCAGCAGCTAGTAAAAGTTAGAAAATCATTCAGGAACATATGTAAGGAGGCATTTAGGGCACTCAACACTACCTACGTGAGACCAGTCTTAGAGTATGCCGCCCCATCATGGAGCCCCTCACCTGAAGAAAGTCATAAGGGAACTGGAAAAGGTTCGGAAGTTTGCGACGAGGTTATCTTGAGAAGATTTCGGGGCTTTAGTGTCCCCCCGGCCCGGTCCTCGATCAGGCCTCCACCCTCTGGAAGCAGCCCGTGACAGTTGATTAACCCCCAGGTACCTATTTACTGCTAGGTAACAGGGGCATCAGGGTGAAAGAAACTCTGCCCATCGTTTCTCGCTGGCGCCCAGGATCGAACCCGGGACCACAGGGTCACGCGTCCAGTGTTCTGTCCGTTCAGCCACCGGCTCCTCGTTCCATTATTGCGAGAGATGGGATATAAAGAGCGACGGAAGGAACTGAACGTGACGTCGCATAAGAGCAGTCTTTAGTCTTTAGCATAAGAGCAATGGGAAAATGGAATGAACTAAAGGAGCAGGTTATGGAAGCCAACTATATTAATAATTTTAAAAGTAGATATGAAAGGAAAGAGGAGAGATTGGGCTAAACAACCGGCGGCTAGTAATGCGGGGCCATGACAAATGCTCGATTCGTAAATCTCATTTCCTCATAGTAGTACTAATAGGTAAGTACCACCACAAACACCACCACCTCCATCACTACCCCCCAACAATATCATAATAAACCTCCACTACCACAACCACCACAACAAACTACCACCACCACCACCACCATCAACTAAAATCTTTAAGTGAACATCGGAGACTGAAAATCACCGATAACCTAACCTAACCTAACCTAACCTAACCTAACCTAACCTAACCTAACCTAACCTAACCTAACCTAACTCCCCAACATGGTAGGGGGCTCCCCAACATGGTAGGGGATCCCCAACAGGGTAGGGGATCCCCAACATGAGAGGGGATCCCCAACATGGGAGGGGATCCCCAACATGGGAGGGGATCCACAGAAACTTGACGGCATCAGCAAACAGGCAAACATTGCCAGAAAACTTTGACAGTCAAGAAGGACTAAATTAGAGACCGGCGTCTCCGACAAGGGACGGGAACTATCGGGAGAAAGCGCCAAGCCATTACGACTATATGCCACTTGGAAGGGATCAATATTAGAATTTGGGATGGGACGGGGGAGAAGGAATGGTGCCCAGCCACTTGGACGGTCGGGAATTGAACGCCGACCTGCATGAAGGGAGACCGTCGCTCTATCGTCCACTCCAAGTGTTTGGCTTATTCGTGCAGTGTACGGGTGGTCAACAAATGGAATCCACAGAGAAGTTGTGGAGCTCCACCTCCAATCCACAAATTAGACACCAGATCCAACAAAGAATTCAAACATCGGGAATGACACGATGTTTTCAACTCCTTTTGACCATGTCGTAGCTCAGTCAATTAAGGTAGCGTCTGGGATGCTCTCGGACGCAGGTTCGAATCCTCGTCACGGCCCTTGTGGATTTGTGCATCGGGAATGACACATTATTACTCAACAGGTACGACGAGGCCAGTAGGCGAGGCATATACAGAGTTAGACTTCTCTGGAGTCACAGACAGGTGCGCAGTGTCGAGGAACAGCGCCCATCACCACCACAGCAGATCAGAGGTCGCACCGGCCTCTGTGACCACAGGAATGTAAATACGCCCCTGGGATGATATGTCCCGGCCCCGGACAAGGGCCTCGAAATTGCAGCTTCCAGGGCCCCGGGTAGTGTCAGGACGGGGGGACGAGTTGGTGTTGCTGGAACCTGGAAAGCGGACTCTTCGACGGAGATGTGTGTGTTCGTTTGTCGGTGCCAGACGTCGTGTGAGAGGCTGGTGCGTCAGGGAATGAAGGAGGTGGGAACAGCCCAAAGGTGCGGGGTGTGAGGAAGTGGAAAGGAAATGTATATATATATAGAGAGAGAATAGAAGGGAAGAGGAGGGAAAACCAAGAATATTAAGGATAATGAATGAATGGAGATAACGGATTGGTAACGGATTGTGAGCAGCAGAAGCAAATCAGAGTTAGAAAGGATGGAGGGGGGGGGGGGCGGAGAGGAGAGGGGGAATTGTGGATAGCCGGATAAAGGCAATGAAGGAGAGAAGAGGGATGGAGGTATGTGGCAACCTGCCACCCGTCCACGAAGCTCAATAAGGCTCCATCTACTGCGATTATATATTCTCAAGTAGTGTACTGTTATTGATTTCCATTAAATCAGTACCCAAATTTTCCCCAGAAAACAGTCCATCCCGCTTGCTGCTACGAATAAGCGTTTAGTTAGGCAAAATAACCGTTACTAATCGTGATTTGTGATAGCGAGCGGCTGGCCACACACCACAGGCAGATGAGTCAACTCGTCCTCCTAACAGCACGTCGCATTTTGACGTACACTTTACCTAAGGCCAAGAAACTGACGTACAAGAAATGACAGCGGCTCGCGAAATTGACGTAATGTCTCGTTTTCTGTTCGTGGGGTCCTTTGGTAGGTTAGGATAATGGTACATTTCTTGACGTTGGAAACGGTCGCGAGAACTGACTGGATGAATGCCAATGGCTGTTATGGACTGTGGAGGCAGCGGCTTGACGAGAGGGGTCGATCATTCACGTCCAGATCGGCACCAGTGGAAGCATCGGTTGAGGTGTTGCGAGGTATAATCCTTTGCCGCGATCGTGAGATGAGGAGAGGAGGATTAATTAAGATGTCGTTTTGGGACTATTGTAGACTATAAGATGAATCTGAATTCTTCTTGGAATTGCTAAAACGACCATTCCAGCTTCCTTATGCTGTGAGGGGGACAGTTTGGAGCCATAGTCAGGGTGACTTGATGGGGCGAGTGATACTTGAAGGCGGTGCCGTGACAGCCACACTGCCTGTTGCAGGTGCAAGGATCAACGATCACTCGCGAGGACGCTATGAGTGCGTGCAGCCGCCAGGAGACCTGTTCGAACATTAAAGTGATGGCCGTTCAACCCGTCCTCCAAATAAAGACCCAAAAGTGATTCCATGCACCCGTCTAACTTCCGGTTTATGAATGAAAAACGGTTTGCTCACGACTCACAACTGCTGACGTTCGAACACTTCCGGAACAAGTGCTTCACTGACGAATTTTGTTCGAATCACAACGCTATAAATGCTTCACCCACGTACTACAAATACAAATAATCGCCAACAGAACCTAAACACCTAACCTAACCTATGTCTATATATGCACAATATCCTAATATATTATAATATTAATTTATATATGAGAAAATTCCCGTTTTGAATTAACAGCATGTTCAAATTTATGAATGCGTCTGTGGGGTCTACCGCTGAATGTAATGGACTTGAGTCGAGGACGGGTTGCCGTGATTGCAGTGGAAGCGGCTCGAGTGCTTGTGTAGTTAGTGGGGAACCCTAACAAGCGAGAAAGTAAACTGATGTTGAATGGAGATTGAAGCATTTAGCGTATTCATTCTTCGTGGAGGAGAGGAACGCTTACTTGTGAAATTGGTTAGTGTGAGCTTATTCAATATTGAGGGTAAGCCTTATTGGGACACAATGAAGTCTATAGACAGGATAAATATATATATATATATATATATATATATATATATATATATATATATATATATATATATATATATATATATATATATATATATATATATATATATAGTGCTCCTCCCAAGTACTGAAGTCTAATTACATGACAGAGGAGGCTGGGACTCGTCTGGGGTAAGGTATTCGCCAGTGACTCAAGAATTCCACTTCATTAAAGCCTCGTTGGAACCTGATTTTGATTTAGCTTGATCGGAACTTTCCGATCTTATCGGAGTGGCAAAGAGGGTGCCTAGTGCCTTTCTGTATGGTGATTCGTCACTGTGGAGATTCAGAGAGGATTAAAGCCGGTCAACGCCCCTCGCAAATGCATTAGCGTATGCCTCCCGGTGTGATAGATATGAGAGGGAACGGGATGGGGGGTTATAGGTAGCGGAGATGTAGGGAGGTGGAGGCTGTAGCGGCAGGGGGAGAGGCGGGACAGGGAGCTGAGGCTTGTAGGTAGCAGGTAATAGGAAGACGAGAGTTGTGGTTAGTTGGAATAGGTGGGAGGGTGGGAGCTGGAGGGGTTATGAGTTAAAGGGATAGAATTAAATTGAGCAATGATAGGAAGTGGCGGTGGAAAAGGGAAATATTGTGAGAAGAGGAACGTAGGAAACGAGAAGGAACAGGTCACAGCCAAGTGTGAAATGCATGGGAATAGTAAGCAGTTAAATCAGGTAACAAGCAGGTGGTTAAGAGATTTGGGAGAGGAAAATTGTGCTGGGATAGTGGGGGGGGGGGGGGGCGGGGTGGGTGGAGCCTTCACGTGGGCTAAACAGTGGGCTTCACAGAGGGCTTCACAGTGGCTTCACCGTGGGCTTCACTGTGGGCTCCACCGTGGCTTCACCGTGGGCTTCACTGTGGGCTTCACCGTGGGCTTCACAGAGGGCTTCACTGTGGGCTCCACCGTGGCTTCACCGTGGGCTTCACTGTGGGCTTCACTGTGGGCTTCACAGAGGGCTTCACTGTGGGCTCCACCGTGGCTTCACCGTGGGCTTCACTGTGGGCTTCACCGTGGGCTTCACTGTGGGCTCCACCGTGGCTTCACCGTGGGCTTCACTGTGGGCTTCACTGTGGGCTTCACAGAGGGCTTCACAGTGGCTTCACCGTGACTTCACCGTGGGCTTCACTGTGGGCTTCACCGTGGGCTTCACTGTGGGCTCCACCGTGGCTTCACCGTGGGCTTCACCGTGGGCTCCACCGTGGGGCTCCCCACGCGAGGAGCCCCACGTGGCTGCCTGGGAAGGACACGCGAGTCAGGCACCTGGAGGCCCAGGACCATCCCTTAAAAACTACCTCTGACCTGACAGCTACGAGG